GACCCCACGACACGCACCCACGCACCCGCACCCACGCACGCACGCACGCACGCACGCACGCGACGCACCGCACGCACGCACGCACCAGGGTTTAAGCTAGACATTTTGTTAGCAATTTGGCTAATTGGTCTGAAAAATATTTAGCCAAATTAGGTTGCCTTTTATAAGCAGGTGCTTCATTCTATAGGTATCTACAGTTTCAATGTAAATGCATCATATAGAAACAAGTCAATTCGTGCCCCATAAAAAATTTCAAGCCCAAAGCTGGAAAATAACCAGGTGTAACTAGACATTTGCTTAGCAATTTGGCTTTAATTTGTCTGAAAAATAATTTAGCCAAATTAGGTTGCCTTTAGAAGCAGGTGTTCCATTTCTATAGGTATCTAAGTTTCAATGTAAATGTAATTCAACATAGAACAAGTCAGATTCTGCATTAAATTTCATAGCAAAAGCTGAAAATTAATTAAAATAGGCGTGAAATTGCCGTCTCCTTCTCCTACAGTAAACTTTACGTTAGTTTATTCAAACTTCAAGCACTCTGGTAAGCAGCACAGCCTTCTACACAGCGTTTTGAAGAAGTATTACAAGTAATTTGTTATATATAATTTCACCACCAGCCTTGAGAACGTTTTGCTAAGTTACAACCTCACCAGCCGAAAAAGCTTGTATTTTCTCTGCATTTCTCTCGTATCTTGGCTTTTCCGACTTGTCTACAGCAAGTTCGTAAAAATGAAACAAAAAACCCGTTGCACCAACCAGAATATTACAGGATACGAGACAACATTACCCACAACCTGCGGATGCCCAGATTGCTAAACGTTTTAAGGCACTTGATGCTAATTTATTATTCCAGCCTTCCAATACCAAGTATTTTTGCCAGAGTAATGGTGGGTGGCTTACACCACCCGCCTTCAGATCCTCACAACCCTAAATACTTCAAACATACTTCAAGTGTATGATATATTTGCATTATTAAACGCATTCGTCAAAGTCACAAAATGCCATCCACTGCACACCTAAAATAACAAACATTCCTCAGCTCTGAATGCCATCGGAACACACACACCTTAAGCCGGCCGCACACCAGCGATTTCGCGTCTGGAAATATCACACGTGTTGATATTTCTCCACGTGCTGGCACATTCCACAGCGTGTGCTGTGTGCCTGTGTCAAGTTCCACACCGCTTATGTAACCGACAATAAGCAGCAGGTCAAGCGAGATCACGTGATCTTAACTTGCGGTTGCAAGCCGCGGTTGACCACTGCCGTACACGCACGTACACGCAGATACACGCACGTACACGGCGCGTATAGCGCACGTACACGCTGGTACACGCACATGCACGCGGGTACACGCACGTACATCCGGCGCTAACACGCACGTGCACTGCCAGGTTACACGCCACGGTACACGCAGGTACACGCACGTACACGCACGTACACGCGGATACACGCACTACACGCGGATACACGCACGTACACGGCTCGGCGTACACGCACGCTGCACGCGTACTGCCACTTGTACGGCGTGTACCCGCCGCGCGCTCTCGGGGTGTTGTGTGCGGGGCGCGTGCACTAGTGCGTGTACCGGCCGTGCACGGTGCGTGTACCCGCGTTAGTGCCGTGTTACTTATCTTGTGTACGGCTTATCTCGTGTACAGGCGCTGTACGTGCGTGTATCCGCGATCGTACGTGCGTGCTACCCGCGTTCGGCGTCGTACCGCCCGTGTACCCGCGTGTACGGGAGCATCTGCGTGTACGTTAAGTGTACCCGCTGTACCCGCGTGTACGTGCGTGTATCTCCGTTTACCCGCGTGTACGTGCGTGTACCCGCGGTGTATCCGCCGTGTAACGTGCGTGCACCCGCCCACCGTCGTGTACGTGCGTGTACGCGCGCGCACTGTGCCGTTCACCCGCCCGTGTATCTGCTGTGTACGTGCGTGTATCGCGTGCTACGGCGTGTACCCGGTGTACGTGCTGCTACGTACGGTATCCGCGTGTACGAATGCGGTACGTGCGTTACCTGCGTGTACGTGCGTGACCCGCATGTACCGTGCGGTACACCGCGTCACCCGTGCGTGTACCGCGTGTACGGCGTATACCCGCAGAGTACGTGCGTATGCTTGCTGTACGTGCTGCTACCGCCAGTGCCAACCCCCCGCTGCACCGCCAATGTTAATCACGTGACTTGCCTCGTCGCACCTGGTCTCCTCGCGCTAGTTGCTCAGGTTACATAGAGCCGGGTGGTGGCAACCTTGCACACTCAGGCCCACACCGCCACCACGCTGTGCCGGTCGAATGCTGGCACGACGGTGGGGAAGGACACAATAGTCAAACACGTGTGATCACTTTTCCCCCGACACGCCAGTACCAGGGAAATGCGCTGTGTGGGTCCGATTGCACCTGCTCCAGCACACGGGGCGGTGTAGCTTTTGCTGCCTGGCGCCATGCCGAGGGGCACGCAGGGTGCGACTCCGCCTGTGGCGGTGAGGCAGCAAGAACGATGTCTACCCCGTGCGGTGCCGCGGCAGGCGGAGGCGTTTTGAAGCGGACGCTGGCCGTAGTGCCCACGCCGCAGGGGCGTGACGCGCTGGGCGCTTACAGCCACACGACCACAGGCCCGCAGCTGACCGGCTTGGGCGCTGATGGGATGCCGCCCCTCGTGTGGCACTGGTATTCGGATTGCCCTACCGCGTGATCTTCTTAAAACCTTTTGCAACCCGCCGCTCTTGTCATTAGGACAAGCACTTGAGTGAGGCATGAGGACAGGTGGCAACTCTCCAGCATCATTCCTGCGCCGACGCCTCCACCTGCCAGACAAGCGTCCGGCAGCATCAACTTACTAACACGATGGAATCTTTTCTAAGCCAATCATATCCACCAAAATAATCCAACAGCAATCCGACTAATGGCAATTCCCATTTTTGCCAAAAAATTGCCGTGGCTCAAAAGTATGTCGGCTGGCGTGCTATAAAATAAGACGTTCAATATGGGAGCATAGCAGTAACAACTATACCCAATTTCAAACATGTGGGTCAAACGGTTCCTGAGTTATCGTTGACCGTAGCCAAATGTTGACGGAAGGACGGACGGACGGACGGACGGACGGACGGACGTACGACGGACGACGACCAATGGCAATAGCTCATCTTGATATCAAGGTGAGCTAAAAATTATGAAGGTTGAAAAGCATGAAAATCGAGACTTACTCCAAGCCGTCTTCGTCGACGCCGTGATCGTGTGTGATTCACGTACTGTGATTGGACTGCGCATGCGGATTTGGCGATCTTAAAATTTGGTGCAAGTTTCCGATGAATGCCGAAGTTTCTTCGGGCACATAACATACTTAACTTAGAAAATTGCCTCCAAGTCACTTTACGATCGAAAAATCGTGTTATAACGTAGCTGAATGTATTCGCGACATCCAGAAGGGGCCCCAGCTCGATTCGCGTGAGAATACGTGGCACGGTTTCGGAGGAGATATGGAAAACGACACTTCGGCTCTTTCTACTATTATATTATAGATTAATGGAGAAAGTACGTATTTAACCACAGCAGTCTGTGCAAACTTAGAATTGTGCAAACTTGTGTTACAACTTACATATATACTAATTATGAGAAACTCCATTATTCGTGCTATTCAATGCTGCCATGAGGCAACATGCAGCTCTTGGAAATTCTGAATTTGCTGCGTATTAATTCAATATATATATACATCTAGGTTTGTGATATTAATAATAACGTCATTTCATGATAAACCTACGCAATTAACCTGCAAGCAAAAGTTTTGACTTTGTTTAAGCGCCTTTGTCAAGCTTGGATTCTCACTTACGACACGGATTTTGAATTTCAGGGATTTATTATAAACTAAAATATTAGCTACACAGATAGGTGCTATACTTACAAGCTGTCAATTATTGGTGTGGAGCTTGGTCCACGAGTCAACGCAGGAAATATAGGCAGGCTCTTCAGCAGGTGATAGAATGGTGGGCATGCTAGAAGAGACTGTAACGTCTGTACACAGAATGTTAAGAAATAACAACAGTCGCAGTACTGACTAGTGACTACAATCACAAAGGAATGCGAATTGCTCAAAATGTTAAATTGCTATAAGTAAGTAAAGTAGGAAAATCGCCACGCAACTTCACACTTATAGACGAAACGTCACTTTAAATATTGACAAATTGACAAATTGACAAAAACAATAAACCCTGATCAATTTAATTTCAAATAAATAATCCTAAAGACATCTATGAATCAGTGGGCTGGACTATCTCTATAAGACTTTAATCCACTGCTTCTACCCCAAGTGAATTCATGGAGCTTATCACCATGATGCAATTGAACCACAGTCAACAATGAACAATAAACAGATAAATCTGAAAAAGGAAATCCTATATGCTGGAACAACGTGGTCTTTTTAAGGATACAGAATTGATGTAGCACCAGTTGGCCCTGTTCAGCATTCCCCTCGGGTGAAGGGCGACTGTCTTATGGATGATCTTAATCCGCGAGAGATGCTCTGTGTATTCAAACAATACCTATTCATCATCAGTACGTAATGGGAATTCCACGTATACAAACTGCCAAATCACACGTGCACGTACGCACACAAAGACATTCACACACACGCCACAGAAACTTTTACGTTACCCACAATGCTCGTCACCTGACAGGTTCAATGATAGGGTAGACTAACTTTTCTCTTTTCAGATGCAAACCCATGCAGAAAATAAACCCTCCTAATTTGCCAAAATACTGTACATATATTCGAAAATTATTTTTAACACTACTTTACTACAATATTTTACTATTACCTCAAAATATTGTCCAAACTCATCCAGCTATAACCAACTAGCAAAGATTTCAGAGCCTTTGTGAGCCTTCGCCCCTACATACAACTCACACACAAACAACTTTTGCTTTCGTAAAAAAAAACCCAGACTGCCAAGCATCTAGCAGGGATGAGAGGGGAGGAGGGAGGGAGCGAGATCGATGGCCTACCTCCAAGCGACATCGCTCTGTGGTCCTCTGACGACTAGCTGGGGATGAGGGAGAGGAAGAAGGGAGGGAGATCGAGGGCCTACTTCCAATTTGGCTAATTTGGTCTGAAAATATTTAGCCAAATTAGGTTGCCTTTTATAAGCAGGTGTTCATTCTATAGGTATCTAAGTTTCAATGTAAATGAATCATATAGAACAAGTCAATTCTGCATAAAAATTTCAAGCAAAGTGAAAATTAATTAAAATAGGGTGAATGCCGTCTCCTTCTCTACATAACTGACATTAGTTTATTCAACTTCAAGCACTCTGTAGCAGCACAGCTTCTACACAGCTGTTTTGAAAAGTATTACAAGTAATTTGTTATATATTATTTGACCACCAGCTTGAGAACGTTTCTAAGTTACAACTCACCAGCAAAAAGCTTGTATTTTCTCTGATTTTCTCGTATCTTGGCTTTTCCGACTTGCGACAGAAGTTCTAAAATGAACCAAAAAACCCGTTTGCACCAACCAGAATATTACAGGATACGAGACAACATTGACCCCACACCTGGGATGCCAGATTGTAAACGTTTTAGGCACTGATGCTTAATTTTTATTCCAGCTTCTCAATACCAAGTATTTTTGCCAAGTAATGGTTGGGTGGCTTACACCACCCCCTTCAGATCTCACAACCCTAAAATACTTCAAACATACTTCAAGTTATATAAATTTGCTATTTTAAACGATTCCGTCAAAGTCACCAAAATGCATCCACTGCACACCTAAAATAACAAACATTCCTCGAGCTCTGAATGCCCATCGAACACCACAACCTTAAGAGTTCGATTCCACGCAGACTACCCGCCGTTTAACAAAAAGCCGACTACCTTTGCCGATCTCCAGATCGATGCCGTAGTCGATCTTCTTTAGAACCTTTTGGCACCCGCCGCTCTTGTCATAGACGAAGCACTTGAGGTGGAGGATGAGGACAGGTGGCAACTGCTCCAGCATCATCCTGCGCGACGCCTCCACCTGCCAGACAAGCGTCGGAGCATTCATTACTTACTACACACGATGGAATTCTCTTCTAGCAATCATATCACTAATCATCAGCAGACTCTTCCTCCTCTCATCATATCCTTACATACTAGCATAATCCTTCTCCTTTTTCTTTCTTCCTTTTCATTGCGTATCTGCACACTAACATACGCCTCCTCTTCTTTCTTCCATCACATCCTGACAAGACCCTGCCAGACAAGCGTCAGGACCGATCCTCCTCCTACTTCCATCTTCACATCATTATGCACTAGTATATATATCCTTTCTCTTTCATAACATCCCCCAACACTACCACTCTCCTTCTTCTCCCTTTTCTTCCTCCCCTGCCTCCACTTTTTCCTCCACAGTACCAACATGCTTCTCTTCCCATCACATCTGTGCACTGTGGAATCACCTTTCTTCTATTGCGCCTCTCACTGCAGAAGTTGAGTTATATGAAATGTTCATATACCATACTGAGGGTATGCTATATAATAAATATAATACATCAATAACTATCGTTACCTCAACTTTGGTTTTGGCACAGGTAAAACCGGACAAAGCTTCACTTTTGACAAGGCCGTCCAATGCATCCTTCAACGTGTGCACTTTTTCCGACTGTACAGTGGTAACAAAACAACTCGATTACCAACGCGAAAACGCCACATTACACTAGAGAGACCGATACGACAAGAGATCACTTCCGATTTCTGCTAACTACACTTATTCGGGCTTTGTTTCTCTACACGGAATTCCCACAGGGCATGGCAATATCGATGCAGACACGCACACGATCAATGCATACTGCAATGAGACAATATATGAAGCTTCTCATAATTGCCGCCCTCCAGGCAGGCTTTGTCAGTAACATCGTAGCTCTACGATAATATCTAGTACTATTACGACACGCAGAAAAAGTTACTGCTAAGACAAATAATACGACTAAAACGTCACACACTCATTTGGACTCTCACAACAGCCCCCAGGAGTCTACTCATCTCGACATGGATTATCCATCACACTGAAAACTGACCTGTATGTCCAGCTGCAGAGTAAAGAAGGGCTGCAGGGTGGCCGAGCCTCTCCCGCCAACAGTATGCAGCTCCGAGCGCATCTGCCCTCCGAAGATTTCGGAAATCGGCGTTTTGGCAAGATTGGCCTGAATACCCAGAATGGTTAGAGTTGATCGCTGGACAATTGCACTTCATATAAATTAACTGGTAAAAATAAATCAGACTTCTTTACTGCACTTATCACCATTACAACGGCTAGAATAATTTTAGTCGCAAATCCACATATCGATAATCCATTCCTCCTCCCAAATGATATCTAATAACATTTTTTTTGCATGCAATTTATAAACTCTCAGCATTCTAGGAAAAATATATTAAATCACGCAATTTTTGATTGAAGTATATTAATTGAAGTAAATCGCACTTCAATTTTCAAGGCAGAACATAAATCGCCATTCCACATCTGTCAAGATTATGTAAATTCCACCAATTGATACTAACAAGGTAGGTTTGTAATAGTAGTAGTAGTAGGTTTGTACATATAAGGCAAAACATATGCCATGCCCAGGAGATTTTACCCAAATGTAATCTTTGTGCCTCTTTTTGCACAATCAGCGATTAGTGAGTATACTCTTGCATAGAGCAAATCTGAATGCCTCTCATGCACGACAAAAATATGCTTAATTTCAAAGAATTTTCGCAGACTTTTAAGCACTGGAAAATGACATTTTAAAATGACAGCTCTTTCCAGCTCTTCCAGAACCTGTACGAATTGCGATTATGCCGAGCTATATCTGCCGAGTGAGACTATGCTTACGCTTGATCGGGTGACACTGCTTTTGTTTTTCGGTCCGACACGCTTCCACTCATCCTCGTCCCCCTCTTCCTGAGAACCAGGCTCTTCTCCCTCTACCTGAATGGCATCCAGGGACGCCGCCAAGTCTCCATTCGATAAGCCATTCGGTTTGGCTTCATCTGAAGAGCAGGATTACATCGCCTTTAAACATACACACAAGCACTATGCACGCACGCACGCACGCACGCACGCACACACACACACACAGTAATATGCAAGCTAGCATAAGTGAAGCTTCTCAAATTTCATCATCATATCGAATGGCTTATCTGCCCCAGCAAGGTAGGTAACCACACTCTGCTCGGATGTTGTTACTAGGTCAGGAAAGCTAAACTAGTTTACACGTAACGCGTTTTTCACATGTGCGCTCCCAAAAAATAGCCAACCTTGCAGCACTTCGATGCCAAGCATATTTTAAAACATTCTATGAAAATAATGATTTGCTAGACTGCTGCCTGACAATCGTGCAGATTGGTTAATCACTGCACAATCGTTGAAACATATACTCAATGTTACCCCGCTGCAGTATACCCACCCAAAAACTTATAAATAATATGTAAAAGCATATCGTCTGCAGAACCCCAGGATTTGTACGCCTAGGGCGACACAGGTTTTACGGAAAGGTCCATTTTCCATGCCCACATGATTTTTCCCCACCTCTACAGTTTTCTCAACGGATTTGAATGATTTGGAAAATTGATAATTTTCGAAAGTGACCGCGGATCCCATCTCTGTAACATGTAAAAACGTGATCGGCTGTGTTCTCTACCTTGTCCTGCATAGAGATTCAAAGCTGCGAGCATCTCCTCGTGAAGCCCATTCAGGATGCAGCCGAGGAACTCCTCAGCATCCTCCTGCCGACCCTGCATGCAGTAACATGACACGTCAAACTATGGGCGACGGCGAAGACGGTAATCCCCCGCATGTAAAGCAAGTACTCTAAATCTCCCCATCTAGCAATGCCATCAAAGTACGTTTATCACGTTTACATAATCTTTTATGATTAATTAATATGTTACGACGTATTATTTTAAATATTAATATTTCATGTTTATATCTCCCTGGTGTTGTCTGTACATAAAGATTATACGAGTACGACAAATATTACGTTTTTCCTAAATTTCTGTTGACCTCACCTTAGCGCACAGTTCCGACTTTATCAAGCCAAGCATTTTGTACATGTAGGACGGTTCAAAAGAAGAGCCTGGATTCAAGTCCTGCTGCCTTTTCCCCTTAATGCCTAAATATTAATAGAAATGACATCATAAAAAACGCCTATTTACGGATACATTTACAACAAGAGAAGTAGAATGTACAAGACATGAACACAGGTTTCTGAGGAAACTACTGACAGTCAAATCTGACCCCATCAACTATAGTGAGAGAATCAAAATTCTGCATAGTATTGATAAAAACCCACAGTTTTCTCTTTGATTCAATTTACCTGTTCTCACGGTCATCTGGTGAAATGCGCTGACAAATTCAACACTGCAACAAGACAACGATGGTTACACTTAAACACAGCACCCACATTGAACCTCTGTAATTTATACTTACTAGCTGTTACCCGTCCTCCAGACGGGTTCGAGTGGGGTCTGACTTGAGGATGGCGGTTTAACCATTTATCTCCGACTTTTATTTTCAAGAGGATGTATTTACAGTAAACGAAAAATACTGATATTTAGACTTGAGTCATATACCAATATTTGTTTAAAAAAAATTGTAAAAAATCTAAATATATATAAAATCTGAAATTTTACCTTAAAATGACATGCAATTTTTCAAAAAAAGGGAAAGGGGTGATTTCATAGCACAATTTCACTTATTTAGATATTTTTGAAAATATCATTCTGGTTAGAAGCATCAATAATAAGTAAAATTCTTAAAAAAAGCAAAATGCATTTAGTAGTTTTGAAGATATATTTTCTTGAAAGTCTGTGGACGGCGGCGGGCAGGGTTACACCTCCCGTTGTCAAATATTTGCACACATGCGCGCATACACACATCACACGCGCGCGCACGCACATACGGGCATGTGCACGCACAATCACACGCACACCCACGCACACACATACCACATTTACACACACACATACACGCACACGCGCACGCACGCACGCACACACACACGCACACGCGCACGCACGCACGCACACACACACATACATACACAGGGGTAGAAATGAACTTTTGAACAAGGGAGTCCAACGCCCTGCCCTCAAAAAAGAGGGAGTCCGCAGCAAAATAAGGGAGTCCGCAATCTGAAGTTCAAAACTAAAGAAATTAGCAATAACGCGTGTGCTTATTTGGAAAATTCATGCAGTTGCACGTGTGCCAAATTGTCTTTGGACATTTGCTGAAAACATACGGCAATTCTGCGAGGCCGTGCTCAGGAACGAACTAGTTAGTATAGCAGAATTTTCAGGGAGTCACACGAACTCCTGCATATGTCAAATCAGGGAGTCCGACAGAAAATCAGGGAGTATTTGACTCCGGACTCCCGTTAATTCAGGATTTAATTTTGCACCTGCATACATACATACACACGCCGGCACCACGACACCACTTTTTTTTTTTTTTTTTTGCTTTTTTCGATTTGTTTTTGCTCCCCCCCACGCCACACACTACTCATACTGACATTTACACACCGATCGGCTGCCGCACACACATAACTGCACCACGCACACTGCATACATATCCTGACTCAGGTGAGAGATTTTTCCCGCGGATCTGCGGAATCGGGTGGATTTGAGTGTCCAGGGGTCGCATTTTGTGAAACGTCACAAATCGTTGAGAAATTGGCGGGGGGGTAGAATGTATAAATATTTGATATTATACCTTACAACAGTACCTGACAGCCGAAGTAACAACGGCTGGTTAATCAGAAAGCGCAGCGTGTACCGGCGCCTGTCCCGTGCGTCGTGTACGCGAGTCATGGCTAGGAGGCGGTGTCGATATGTATTGCGGCTATTGATTGCGTTTACATGTCTATTGGTGCGTATAGTCATGTCAACTATTGAAATACCCGGAAGCAAATTGCGTACAGTAAGGTTTAATATAGTTGGAAGTTGTTCTGATTGACCGTTCCTTAAACTGTCAATGTATTGCAATAATCGCCAAAATCGAGACACGGGAACTGGCTAATTACATAAATCCCAAATTGGCCGGCCGTCGTAGGGCGACCTGAGTTAGCCTTTAGGCTCCTGGTAGCTAACTGGACAAGACTAGCCTCAAACTTGATTAAATGTAGGCCATTTTGGATTTATGCTAAATAGCCATTGCATTCCCGTGGTCCGATTTTGGCCGAGTTTTACATATGAAGTTAGAGGGTCAATCAAAACTTCCAACATTTAAACCCTCTGATTGAGCATTTGTTTCCAGGTAGGCCGAAAAAATTTTTCATTATATTGACTGACTAACAAAGTGAGCCATGTGAGCATGTTTATTGACTGCGTTGAGGAAGTGGGGGCGCCTCGGAGGTGGAGACGAAATGAAACAAGAACTGGTAATGGTCTCCTCTTTCCTATATCGTTTTATTCTTTCAGGGGTTGATAATTTATGAAGTCTGTAGTTATAAATTATTATGATTCGATTTATATACTACTTATAATTATTAAGGTCCTTAACGATTAGAAATGTCTTGGTCATTATGAACCGCGCTGATTCGCTATCAACGCACATTGTTCAAGATCAGGATGTTACAAAAACGGACTCTCCCTCATTATGCTGGGCGGACTCTATTCTATCCCCTGTAGTAGTGTTACAGTATTGACATGCACTGTGGTGATATGTGTTATTGAGAAATGCTGGATGTACATCAGATTATTATACCAGAAATCAAGTAATCATGGTTAGGATGAAAGTGTTTCATAATGACACTGTATGCTCACCACAAAGGCACCACAAATGAGTGAGTGAGAAGTAAGTCAGTGTTTAAATCTGAGGCAACCATCGACAGTCATTATAGAAACGAAGAGTAATATACTATGGAGAACTCCCCATTATAGTACTCTTGATAAATTATATGTGTAATTTTGTATGTGAAAATCAAATGTTTGAGATGTGTAAAGTCCTGAGATTGTGGCGAGTGATGGCGTTTACACCTAAATGATCGCCATTTAACGTTTTTATAATATTCAGATTTAAGGCACTGCCTACAAAAGCGGAGCTCGCGATGTGTTACGTGTAGATGATGAGAGGATACGCTTATTCCACCTAGCTGCTTATATACACTGTGACAATGGTGTTTCCCTGTCCATAACACACTTTTGTTAGAAGTTAAAGGACTCACAATGTGCATCCAAACGCTAATTTCTACAGTACTAGAGACTAGCAAATACTTCGTGCATGAATAATCAAACACTACTTAATGACAATAAACTCTAGCTCCTCCAATTTCACTGCGCTTGTCTTATAAAAGGTATTTTGAAAATACCTCCAATGTTGTTTGAAATTCTCCCGATGTTGTTGACAGTTTCCCCAATCTCCAAGCAGCCGTGCAGCGTGGGCGGCGGTACAGGCGGTACGGCGGCAGCAAAGATAGAAACATGTGACGTCACCAAACCTGAAGTCGATGTTATGTTGTTTGAAACAAGTTAGCGTTGGCGCCTGATTACTGATTTCGCACGCTCTTTCTTGTTGGAACGCGCAGTCAAATGGGAGGAACTAGAGTTTATTTTGTCATATAGGTAGTGTGATTATGCATGCACAAAGTAGTTGCTAGTTCTAGTACTGGAGAAATTTCAGCGTTTGGATGCGCATTGTGAGGCTTTAATTGGTTGCATGGAAGTTGTTACTTCGTATGAGTTTTTCTAGGCGGTAGCACACGGTTGCCATCTGTATATCGCTAATAATTTATAAACCAAAATGAATCACAATTTGTGACGGTAGATGCGCTATACCGCTTCGATGGCGTTCGAATAAATAGGTATGCTGCGTTCCGACATGTTTTGTAAAACTTTACTCTAATATAGACGTTTTATCTGAGGGTGGAGAGGAAATACCAATTTGTCATTAAAGATATTGTCATTGAAATCTTGTAAACGAACCAGACGAGTGTGACACACAGGACTTGTTATCTGCGTGTCTATAACATAAGATGCTATATAATTGCCAAAACCTGCCTAATTTGCATAATTTTTTTTTAAATATCAAAACCCCTGGCCCTTATTCATTCACATACCAAAAATGAGCAAAATCCGTTGAACTGAACTGACTAATGGCAATTCTCATTTTTTGCCAAAAAATTGCCGGTGGATCCAAATAGGACGTTCAATATGGGAGCATAGCAGTAACAACTATACCCAATTTCAAACATGTGGGTCAAACGGTTTCCTGAGTTATCGTTGACCGTAGCCAAATGTTGACGGAAGGACGGACGGAGACGGACGGACGACGGACGTACGTACGACGGACGACGACCAATGGCAATAGCTCAATCTTGATATCAAGGTGAGCTAAAAATTATGAGGTTGAAAAAAGACATGAAAATCGAGACTTTACTCCAAGCCGTCTTCGTCGACGGCCGTGATCGTGTTGTGATTCACGTACTGTGATTGGACCGGCATGCGGATTTGGCGATCTTAAAATTTGGTGCAAGTTTCCGATGAATGCGAAGTTTCTTCGAGCACATAACATACTTAACTTAGAAAATTGCCTCCAAGTCACTTTACGATCGAAAAATCCGTGTTATAACGTAGCTGAATGTATTCGCGACATCCAGAAGGGGCCCCAGCTCGATTCGCGTGAGAATACGTGGCACGGTTTCGGAGGAGATATGGAAAACGACACTTCGGCTCTTTCTACCTATTATATTTATAGATTAATGGAGAAAGTACGTATTTAACCACAGCAGTCTGTGCAAATTAGAATTGTGCAAACTTGTGTTACAACTTACATATATACTAATTATGAAGAAACTCCATTATTCGTGCTATTGAATGCTGGCCATGAGGCAACATGCAGCTCTTGGAAATTCTGAATTTGCTGCGTATTAATTCAATATATATATACATCTAGGTTGTTAATATTAATAATAACGTCATTTCATGATAAACCTACGCAATTAACCTGCAAGCAAAAGTTTTGACTTGTTTAAGCGCCTTTGTCAGCTTGGATTCTCACTTACGACACGGATTTTGAATTTCATGATTTATTATAAACTAAAATATTAGCTACACAGATAGGTGCTATATACTTACAAGCTGTCAATTATTGGTGTGGAGCTTGGTCCACGAGTCAACGCAGGAAATATAGGCAGGCTCTTCAGCAGGTGATAGAATGGTGGGCATGCTAGAAGAGACTGTAACGTCTGTACACAGATGTTAAGAAATAACAACAGTCGCAGTACTGACTAGTGACTACAATCACAAAGGAATGCGAATTGCTCAAAATGTTAAATTGCTATAAGTATATAGTAAGTAAGTAGGAAAATCGCCACGCAACTTCACACTTATAGACGAAACGTCACTTTAAATATTGACAAATTGACAAATTGACAAAAAACAATAAACCCTGATCAATTTAATTTCAAATAAATAAATCCTAAAGACATCTATGAATCAGTGGGCTGGACTATCTCTATAAGACTTTAATCCACTGCTTCTACCCAAGTGAAATTCATGGAGCTTATCACCATGATGGCAATTGAACCACAGTCAACAATGAACAGTAAACAGATAAATCTGAAAAGGAAATCCTATATGCTGGAACAACGTGGTCTTTTTAAGGATACAGAATTGATGTAGCACCAGTTGGCCTGTTCAGCATTCCCCTCGGGTGAAGGGCGACTGTCTTATGGATGATCTTAATCCGCGAGAGATGCTCTGTGTAATTCAAACAATACCTATTCATCATCAGTACGTAATGGGAATTCCACGTATACAAACTGCCAAATCACACGTGCACGTACGCCACACAAAGACATTCACACACACGCCACAGAAACTTTTACGTTACCCACAATGCTCGTCACCTGACAGGTTCAATGATAGGGTAGACTAACTTTTCTCTTTTCAGATGCAACCCATGCAGAAAATAAACCCTCCTAATTTGCCAAAATACTGTACATATATTCGAAAAATTATTTTTAACACTACTTTACTACAATATTTTATATTACCTCAAAATATTGTCCAAACTCATCCAGCTATAACCAACTAGCAAAGATTTCAGAGCCTTTTGAGAGCCTTCGCCCCTACATACAACTCACCACACAAACAACTTTTGCTTTCGTAAAAAAAAAACCCAGACTGCCAAGCATCTAGCAGGGATGAGAGGGGAGGAGGGAGGGAGCGAGATCGATGGCCTACCTCCAAGCGACATCGCTCTGTGGTCCTCTGACGACTAGCTGGGGATGAGGGAGAGGAAGAAGGGAGGGAGATCGAGGGCCTACTTCCGAGCGGCAGCGTGTCTAGCGGGTATGAGAGGGAGGGAGGGAGGGAGGGAGCGAGATCGAGGGCCTACCTCCAAGCGGCAGCGTGTCTAGCGGGTATGAGAGGGAGGGAGGGAGGGAGGGAGCGAGATCGAGGGCCTACCTCCAAGCGGCAGCGTGTCTAGCGGGTATGAGAGGGAGGGAGGGAGGGAGCGAGATCGAGGGCCTACCTCCAAGCGGCAGCGTGTCTAGCGGGTATGAGAGGGAGGGAGGGAGGGAGCGAGATCGAGGGCCTACCTCCAAGCGACATCGCTCCGTGGTCCTCCGACGGTTTCACAACGACGACGACGTCGTCAGCAGCCTCCGAGCCAGCCTGCGACCCACGCCGCGGCGCACGACCCGCCATGCTCTCAGCAGCCGCCGCCTCTAGCTGTTCGCTCTCCAACGGCACGTACACCATCTTCGCGTTGTCATTCCTGAACAAACTCGCCCACGACGACGGCTTCAGCTTCGGCTTGGCTTCCTCCGTGGCCGCGGCGACGGCGGGCGCTTTCTCGTCACGCACGTCGCCGGCTTCCTTCTTCTCGCCGGCTGCCCTCTCCTCCTCGTCCGGCGACACCTCGCTTCTGCTGGCACGAGGATCGCTGCTTTGGCAGCCGCTTGGCATCGCCGCGTCCCGTTCGATCGATCGGTCGTCGCCGTCGGAATTTCCGATGCGCGTGGCGGACGGTTGCTCGCCCGCAGGAACGCTCGCTGTTGTCATGGCTACGTGTTCGCCTGCAGGAACGCTTGCGGTTGCCACGGCGACGAGCTCGCCCGCCGGAGCGCTCGCGGGCGTCGCGGGGACGGGCTGGCCCGCCGGAACGCTAGCGGTTGCCGCGGCGATCGGCTCGCCTGCTGGAGCGTTTCCGATCGCGGTGGCGACGGGCGCGAGTTCGGGATTGGGCGACTGATCGCAAGCGCCCGCGAACGCGCGACCACCGCCGCCGCCGTGCGCAGCGAGGTTGTACGGCGCAACGGGTTCACCACCGACCGCCTGCATGCCGCCGCCCAGCGACTGACCGTAGTGCACCATCGCAGGGGGCGGCAGCATGCTCAGAGCACTGTTGGCCATCTCCCGCGGCATCAGACCGCCGACGCGAACCATGGCGTGCCGAGGCAGCACCGGATGCAGCAGCGGCGGCGGCGCGCCCGGGGGGAGACCGTGCACGGGTACGAGGGGCGGCGGCGGCACGGCGGGCAGCACCACGCCGCACATCCCGCCGTCCGGCGGCATCTGAAACGGAATGCCCCTCACCTGGATCACCATCTGAGCCGTTATCGGCACCGCCACCGTGGCCATCTTCGCGTCGGCCGCGCCCGGCCGGTAGTTGTGAGCGGCGGCGGCATGGTGGTCGGACGCAGGCACTAGCGGCATGTGACGATGGTGTGCGACGACGGGAGGCGACTGGTGCATGACCATCGCGTCGGTCCTGTTGTCAACCACCTGGTCGTGAGGAGCAGATGCATAGTGATGGTCGACGCCGACTGCTCCGCCGGCTGCGGGGTAACCATAGTGACATGCCGCCGCAGCCTCTTCGAAGCTAGCGGGGCCACCATTCACGAGTCCTGCAGCTGAAAACGTGTAAAAGGCCTTTAGATTACAAAAATGACAAATTTGCAGATGGGGTTACAGGGCATGAAATTCAGATTTTTTTTTGCACCAGCCACGAGTGCCCCAGCCATGAACCCTAACCCTAACCCTCACAAATTGTTTTTTTTTTTAATAACATTGTTTCACTGACTCTTGACTGTCCAAAAAATGTTGTAGTGTCTATTTCAAATTTGTGAAATGTTGATAAATTATGGTGTGATATCCTTCAGGTAAAACAGTAATGTAGGCTATTTTTTCATTAATGCTATAAATAAAAACGTAGGTACTCGCTAACACGGCTGAAAACACCGGCTCGAAGGGCCGGTGTTTTGCCAATGTTGCTGGCCCTCCAAATAATTTGCCGGGATATATGCCAGTGGGCCGATGCTAATTTCGCGCCCTGGGGTCAACACTAGCAATGTGCTGCAGTCTCTTCAGAGATACTGACACCGCATATCGAAATATGAGCAAAATACTTTCAAATGTGAAAGCCAAAAATAAATATTTGCAAATGTCGAGCACAACTATTCAATAAAATGTGTATTGTAATCGGTTACCTGTGCCGATTTAGAAGTAACGTGTAATCTAAATTTTTAACGAATTCTAAGACTTAAGGGCTTTTGTAATAAAATGCATCATAAATTAGTGTCATTAATAACAATGCAATCATAAATTAGCAGAGCCACCCTCACTCAGAGAAAGAAATGTACGCAGCAGGTAAATCAATAATGACCCAAGCAAGGACTATATATATATATATATATATATATATATATATATATATATATATGCAGAAAGGATCCAGCCTTACCTTCTGCCTGCAAGCGTGAGAGATCGGTTTTGTCCCATGGAAACTGCAATAAGACGTACATAACATCAGACAACACAATTGAACCACGTGGACACAGTCATATGAATATATCAGTCACTGTTCCCACATCAACCTCACATGCTCAACAGTGTTTGAAATAAGGGCTATCCGTTTGTCCTCACTTGTCCATTTCCACTGAGGACAAGTAGACCTGTCCAGTAGCTTGTCCGCCGGACAAGCAACTTTTTATAGCAAATTTTCATCATTTTCTATCATCGCTGGCCGCCGCCATTTTTGCATTCCGTTTCGTATTTTCGCTTCGTCTTTTAGATACAACTCGACGAAATTCATCACTTCCGGTCGTATTGGCGCCCTTCCCAGAGCTAATAAAACGAGGTATTTGTGTAATTTTACATCTTTATTGTGTGGTTAGAATAAATATAGACTTTTATTTTATTTAATCCACTTTGCAATGCCAATGGTGCCCAGGATTGCTTTATTTATACTAGACTACAAGACTACCAGATTTACTATATTTCTATTTTCTATGTTATTAATCAGGCCAAGCAAAAATTTTGCAGGACAAGCAAAAATATCTTGTAGCTTGTCCGTCGGACAATCACATTTTTTTCCCTTATTTTGAACACAGCTCAATGTCATTCGCTGTGATGCAGCTTATGGAATTGTGTCTGGACTCTCTATGATAAATGAGAAAGCACAGACGTTTTTTTTTCTTAAACACTGATATTAACAAGGTAAACAAGAAATGCTTCAAATTATTATAATATAATAATGGAGTACAGTTAGTCAAAGGTTTAGAGGGTTCTCTGTATGCCATGTATCAACAATCTACAATCTACACAGTGCTATGCATACATTAAACTATATTATTATTATAATATAGTAAAATGTATGCATAGCACTGTGTAGTCTATATACTGACAAACGTTTCCATTTAGAACATTGATTGGCTTATATTACAGGTGAATTATAAGGTGACAATTAAATATAGACATGTTATATGGGTGTAACGATACACTAGGATCAGGATATAATAAATATCTCAATACGCATGTTACGATACACGATAGATATTTGTGACACTGAGAGTAAACTATAAAATAAAATAAATTTAACTTAAATAGAAATACATTTACTTCATTTAAAATTAGTTTATCGTACCTTATTTACTGTTTAACATGCGTATCGTTTGTATTGCGATATGGAGGCTGCGTATTGATTACTGTATCGTTGGCTACTGTATCACGATTCACAGATACATACCTTTACTTTTCGTTGGGACAAATGTTTCGGCTTCAGTAAGACTTTGATAACATTGCAGTCCTCGTCAGCCAGGCCCCGAAAGTCAAGATATTCTAAACCCTGAAAACCCATCAATGATTCAAATCACGACATAACCTCAGATTTGTGACATTATTACGCTTGACTTATAATTGTAATTGGTGCGGATTGTCAGAAAACTCCACATAAATACGTAACGTAATCTTTGATGTACCGTACTGTAACACTAACAGTCTTCGAAATGAGTCTGAAAACCCAGTCAGTCCTGGGGCCCATTGTCAGAAACAAAATTAGTCTTAACAATAACAAACTTTTTCTCATAGACCATTGGCATTAAAGGGACAGTAGCCTCTAGGATTTTACTGCATACAACTGTACTTACTGTATAACAAATCGTCTATACCCACAAAGGAGCGGTGTCGATTGATGTACGGGCCATTGATCGTTTCATGTCTATGGCGCGATAGTCCGGTCAAAATATGAAATACCCGGAACAAATTGCGACAGAAGGTTATATAGTTGGAAGTTGTTGATTGGACCCTCCTAAACTTCATGTATGCAAAATCGGCCAAAATCGGACCACGGGAAACTGGCTAATTAGCATAAATCCAAAATGGCCACCGTCGTAAGGGCGACCTGAGTTAGCCTTTAGCTCCTGTACTATCTAGGACAAACTAGCCTCAAACTTGAAAATGGTGGCCATTTTGGATTTATGCTAAATAGCCATGATTTCCCGTGGTCCGATTTTGGCCGATTTTACATATGAAGTTTAGGAGGGTCCAATCAACAACTTCCAACAATAAAACCCTCTGTTGCAATTTGTTCCAGGTAGGCCAAAAATGTTCATATATTGACTGGACTACAAAGTGATGCCATGTGGAGCATGTTTATGACTGCGTAGGAGTGGCGGGCGCCTGGGAGGGGAGAACGAAAGTAAAACAAAACTGGTAGCTCCCTCTTCCTATCGTTTTATCCTTTCAGGGGTTGATAATTATGAAGGTCTGTAATTATAAATTATTATGATTGATTATTATATACTTATAATTATTAAGGTCTTAACGATTGAAATGTCTGTCATTATGAACCGCTGATCCTATCAACGCACATTGTTCAGATCAGGATAGTTACAAAACGGACTCCCTCATTATGCTGCGGTCTCCTATTTCTATCCCTGGTATAGTGTACAGTATTTGACATGGCACTGTGTGATATGTGTTTATTGAGAAATGCTGGATGTACAAGAAATACCAGAAATCAAGTAAGTCAGGTTTAGGAAATGAAAGTGTCAATGACACTGTAGCTCACCACAAATGCCCGACGCCATATCGACATCTCATTGAACCCATGACTTGCCCGAACTCCAGCGTTGTACTCTTTACACCGTAACGGCCAATGGCCGAACCCGGTTTGACCCACATGTTTAGAATTGGGGGTATAGTTTGTTACTAGCTATGGCTGCCAATGTTGAACGTCCTAAAAATGCAAAACTTATCGCGAGCCCCAAACGCGAATATGTTTTTGGCAGGAAAGACATCAAATTGGCCGCGCAACTTAGCTCCAGCTTCAGGTTCAGGACGGATGTTTGTGGCTCATTTTTGGGTATGTGAATGAATTAATGGGCGCCGTAGGGGTTTTGATGATATTTAAAAAAAAAAATCTATGCAAATTAGGCAGCCGGTTTTTGGCAATTATAGTACGCATGCTTACTGTGTATAAGAGCGACGCAGATAACAGTTCTGTGGTGGTCAGCAGGGAGAACTCAGGTCTGGGTTCGTTTTGACAAGATTTTCATTGGGACAATCGATCTTTAATGCAGATGATATTGGTACTGTTTCTCTCCACCCTGCCGATAAAACGTCTTATTATGGTAAATGTTTTACAAAACATGTCGGGGAACGCAGCTACCTATTTAGTTTCGAATGCCAATCTGAAGGCGGGTGAATAGCGGCATCGTACTGTCACAAATTGTGTGATTCATTTTGGTTTAATAGTAATATAAAATTATTAATGCTGGCGATAGTACAGATGGCAAACCGTGTGCTAAAAGACTATAATGCCGGGGTGTGCGGGGAGCCTAGAATAAACTCATCATGAAGTAAACACTTCGCATGCAACGCAATTAACGTCTGTAAGCAAAAATTGTGTTTGCGATCAGGGAAACACCATTGTCACGTGGTATACGAGTTAGCAGCTACGTGGAATATCGAGCGTATGCCTCTCAATCCGTTTCGGTACACGTTACACATGCGGCGAGCGTCCGGGCTTATGTAGGGAGCGAGTGGTGCCTAAAATCTGAATATTATAAAGAACGTTAAACTGGCCGATCATTTAGGTGTAAACGCGGCATCCCACTTCCGGGCCCACGATGCTCAGAGCTTTCAGCATCTCAAAACATGTGATTATTTTCACGAACAAAATTTAGCAGCATATAATTATCAAGATGTATACTAATGGGAGTGTCTCACCATATATACTCTTCGTCTATAATTAACTCGATGGTTGCCTCAATTAAACTGACTTACTTCTGCACTCACTGCATGCTTGTGTGCC